CTTGTAGTGAAGTGGAAAATTCCACCGAGGCAGGGTGGAAAAAGCTTTCACTAAACATCTCTGTTTATGGGGGGAGAAAAGTGTTTACAGATTCAAAATGTTACACACACACACACACACACACACACACACACACACACACACACACACACACACACACACACACACACACACACACACACACACACACACTTTTCATTTTATGACAAACTATTACTGCAAGCTTGTTTTAAACTAGACATACAGGGATGTGTTTTACAGTCACTACAGTATAGCAGCTGCTGTAGGTGGAGAGGAAGCCGGGTTAGGTGCATGAGGCTGAGTGGCATTATGGGAACCAAATGCTAAATTCAACTTTAGCTCCTCCAGCTCTTTAGGAATGTGAAGTTTGCTGCCACAGAGCTATTATTACTCCACACTGTCATAAACGGGGTCCCCTGGCACCCTGAGGAGTCACATTTCAGCATTTTGAGAGGACCCTGCCTGGTTTTTAGATCCCGTAAAACAGGAAATCAAAGATAAACGACAGCGAGTTATGAGATGTATGCAAATGATTCCTCTTGGGAGTCTGTGTTACTTTGCTTAAACAAATCCACTGCCTTTCAAAACAGACAGTCACATCACAGACAATAGAATGATTAAATCATTCAGACCTTGAACAGAAAATACAAATATGTGGTAGCATTGGCAGACATATGGCTGTGTGGAGAGGGAGCCCATATGAATTGGACGTCACTGAACTTGGCTGAACTTTGAGGTATTATTAGGCCTACATTATTTCCCCGTTTCATTCTTCCGTACCATGGCCTTGCCTTCTGTCTTACTGCCCAACAGGAAATGCGTTTATGGGGAAGTAGATGAATGCCTTTCCTCTTGCATGCTCCATTCTTGCATTCTTCAATTTAGCAAATACATTATTTAGCCATATTAGCAGCATTATTCGAGGGCTGGAAAATTCCATNTGTGAATAGAGTTTGTAAACTGTACCCTGTACATTGCGTTGTATGTCATCCTTATTGTTGTTCTGTTGTTTTTATGTTACATGTGTAACTAATGTCCTGCAGGTCACAAAAGAGATATTTTGATCTCAAGGGGCTTTCACCTGGTTAAATAAAGGCTACAAACAAACAATATGTTTTGATTATAATTATTGATGCATTAAAGTGTTATCAAAGCTGGTAAAGGTGCAGCTAGTTTTAATGACTTTGTATACTGCAGGGTAGATTTACTCCAGGTGTAACTACAGTCTTACTTAAGTGTTGATTATATTTCACATCACTAATCCAAATAACTAAAGGTATTAAATAATTGTAATGGAGTAGAAGTACAAAGTAGCATAACATGGAAATATTCAAGTCAATATACAAGTACCTCAAACGTGTACTTAAAGTACAGTACTTGAGTAAATGTACTTAGTTACTTTACACCACTGCAGGCCTATTTGGTCAAGTGTAATTACATATTTTGAACATGATAGCTACTTGTTGATTGTATATGGTAATTTTACTCAAGTGAATATAAAAACAAAAAGTCATAAAACTGTGAAATAAAATCATTCAATATTTCAATAAAGATGTAAGTTTATCCTTTTTACCCAATTATATCATATTTTCCTACACATTTTGTAATATCTTTTAATTATGGTGAGTTCTTAAGTTCATGAAATGTTTGTACGTTTGTTTTGAATAAAGTGTAATGTAAAAAAAATAAAAAATATGTCTTACCGTGGACATAAATTCAGCAAATTCAAAATAGTAGACCAAATTCATATCGAACCAACTCCCATAGTTTGTCCGATATTCACGAAATGCTGTATACACATTGTTCGTATGATGGCAAACGTATCTCAAATTAGCTTTCATTTTCATAAGTAATCCAACTTTTTTTATTTTCAAATATAGTTTAAAACATTCTTTTTTAATTGTCTCCAAACTTTTAATTTCATATAGAGCAATAGTTATAGTAGGCTAAAACAAACTTTAAGGTAATAATGTATTTCTAGTACTTAGGTGATATACCAACTGAGCAAACGCCATGTTCTGAGGAGAGGAAAAAAAAGAGCATGTGGACTTGAATCAACATTATTTATAACAACTCTCTGAAATGAACGTCTCCAATGTTTATATACATAAAGCACAATAATACAATACTTATTAAATCCTGGCTTCTTCTCTTTCTAATGAAGAAGACATCCGCTAGAAACATCTAATTTAGCGCTTGGAGCTTGAGTGATACATTGAACAAAATACAATTCCATGCTCAATTTGTGATGCAATCTGGATGGTGAAATCACAGACATAAAATGACCGTAAATTCAAGCCGTACATCTTGGAAATATATTTTAGCCTTTACCCATAGCAGGCACTGACATGAGTTAAGGTAAAGGTCTCAGAGGTCCATTTTTTTTAAAGGCTTCACCATATATCAACAATCATGTGCAGTGGGGCTGTGTTTTTCGTGGCAGCTGGTCTTTAAATAAGCCAGCACTTCAAACTGACTAATCTCACATGGCTATATATAGGCCACTGGGCAGAATTAGTTAACAGCTGAACGCAACTTTGATTATTAACCTTCCAAATTAGCATTCTCTTCTAATTATGCACACAATAGGAGCCACATTATTCAGTTCTATTATATATCTAAATTATATCATCATTTTTTTAATGTTGTTTTTACTACATAGAGTTTGAATGTACTTCGCAAATTTGAAAATATGCTTTTTACTTTTTGTATATTTATCATAGATGAACAAATCATAGTTAAATATGAAGCTGGCAAGAAGCATTTGGATGGAAATCTATCTATGTTGACAACTGGTGCCAGTATTGTCTCTGTGTGGTCCCAGTAAAGTCTCCTTTAAGACTCTATGATGGGCATACAAACTCTTACATTTATGTGGTTGCTTAGTTTATATTTTTTTATTTAAACAACATTATTTTGATGTTATTCAAAATGCTGTTAAATGCAATGAATACATGCAAAATTAAATACATCGTTTGATAAGACTGATTTTAATAACTGGGTATTGTAAAACAAACAAACATGGGTGTTATTGGGATTTAAAAAATCTAAGACAACCCCATACGCATGCACAAATTATGATAAAACTGAGTAATGTGAAGCCACCGGGATCTTTATAATCACAATTTAGGAAGTATATATTGGAAACAAAGCCAATTATGGAATTTATAATAAGTAGACACCAATTTGGGAATGGTTTCAGTGTCTCTTTTTTTTTTTTTTTTTTGACCAATCCATAATTGTAAGCCCTTAAATCTCAGTAGCACCAACTATTTCAGTGTTCAGGTGGTGATCTGCAGCAGAAATCCAGGCAATTCCAGTAAGTGTGATTATCCTGGGAAAGCGAAGGGGACGGTGGCTATGCATGTTGGAGTGGCCTGGAGCTCCATCCCATCTAATCCTCTTTTAATTAGGGTGAGAGAAAATGCGGGACCCCTCCTGGATTAGTCACAGCACATTGACAAAGCACCAAGCTGGGACCAGCATACAGGCCCGGTGGCCAGGGTGGCCAGTTAGGTACGGGGAAGACCTTTTCGAGCGTGAAAAAATGCCCTCTCATTTCCCTGAGGCTACCTGGAGTCTGGCCTTCCTGCTTCTATATCTTTGGTCTCTGGTGAACTGGGAGGATAAGTCACAGTATATGATTCACTCATCTCCAATGCCTTCTCCATTTTTCACTCTCACTACTGTATCTGCGGTCACACTTGCTCCCTATTATCCACCCTTTTTGCTAATCCTACAGGGTACTTTGCTCTCCTCGTTATCGCTCACCATCCTTAACTATCTCTCTTCACGCTCTATCTGTCCATTTCTCCATCCCTCCTTCTTTTCTTGGCCAATAATGAAAGCTCAGCCTCATGCTGATGGGGGTTGAGGTGAACAAAAGAATCAATTAAGAGCCAAATAGTCTGTGCTTTCCACTCAGATCTTTGAACATGTAAAGATAGGGCTTACACAAGCCAGTTTAATGTACAAAGTAATATAAACTGTAGTAGATTACATTAAGTTATTACGTTGCTTCAGGTCTACATGCATGTCGTGATGCATGACTACGTGGCAATCAACATATGAATTCATCATTTATGGCCAAGTGTTTGTTTTTTAGGCTGATCAATACAATTGTAGTCAAATGTAGCTCTTTAAAGAAAATTATATGATAATCTCGCCGCTGTCCTCTGAGATAATTGTAATAGTTTGGGAGCCTAAAATGTCTTGTGCAGTGGTTAGTTGTACTTAAGTAGCTCTAACCAAACTATGGTTCAAAAGTTTCATTCAATTATCCTAGTTCATTTAACATTGACAATTCAAGTTGATTTCTTTTAATGTTACCTAATAGTTCTACCAGATAAACAACATTATTGTCTGCATACAACTCTACTTCTGGTAAATCATTATTTTATAATCTAAGACAAGTGGGACAAATACAGAACCCTGTGGAAATCCTCTTTTACCATTACACCTTAACGATTGACCAATTGAATATTTCTGTCAGAAGCTGAACTTGGAAAACCTTTGAGTGAAAATCTATGGTTTAAAGTGGACCTTTATCATGCTATATATGAAACATATACTGTAGGTAAGTTTTTTTTTCAAAATACCAAACCGTTCACCCATTGTAGCCATCCCTCATACTGCTCAAACCCCTCTTTTGAAGCCCTGTTGTGGCACATATCCACTGCAGCGGGGTAGCCCCGTTTAAACGTCCCTAAGCATCCTCGCTCAGGCCTCGGGCTGCCTCGCTGGCCGTCCGAGGCCGTGGCGCATTTCCATTACAGTTTAGGACCTGGGGTAGTAACGCAGTCTAGGCGGGGCGATCGGCTTTTTTTTGGCCAATGAGATGTAGGAACGTCGTCACCTCCTCGGTCGACCACGGTATGCTTTTCTTTGACGTTGCCATTTTTGTAGCTCTTCCGTTTACAAAAATGCTGTGTATAAAAACGCTGCAAGCTTGCTTCTAGATATATATGCGATGCTAGGGATGATCTCGCGCGCGATCTTGTGACGATTCTCTCTGACCAATCAGCAGTCGAGAGTGTTGACGTCACTAGTTCAGCCCTGGCCCTGGCCTGATAGAACCACGATTTTATGGGGCCGGAAAAAGAGGGAAAAAGTACCCGCTAGCCGGTGCTACGCTATATGAAAAGGCCGCCAAAAACTGGCCTAGCCGCTTGAGGGCGATTAAGGATGCTTAAACGGGGCGACCCGCTGCAGTGGAAATGCGCCATTAGAGAAAGAAACGCCGATTTTGGGCCCTTAGCTTGAAAAAAAGAAAAGAAGAGGAGGCGGAGCTAATGCCTGATCATAATTCTACTGGAGATAAATTTCAATTCTGTTGTGATAAAACGCCATCCTGTTTAAACCACGTCAGGGATTATTTCTGAAATAGTATGCTTTTTCTCTTGCGGGTTTATCACAAGGTGAGTTCTTTTTGTATTACCTGCTTTTTAAACACATGTGCTCTACACAGTACAGGTTAGCTCTGAGTGTTAGCGAGGCTTGCTAATGTAAACAAAAACGAGATTACGTCCAAAACACGTCAGGCATTGTTTCTGATAGCAACTTTCTGTGGGTTCGCTGCCGATTTGACGTCGGTTCGGATGGAATCTGTATCCGCTCGTTGTACCACTGTTTTTTAAGGATTTGAGTACGGAGGAAAAGAGAGAGGGTTTTATTTTCTGACGCTGCGTGAGTTCCCCGATGCACCGGGGACACATACGTATGTATAAAAGACATCACAAAGTGCATTTTGCATCCCGTCCCCTTTAACTTGTAAAATACAATTTTAAGATTTAAAAAAACTGCCCCTAGAAACCACCTTTATCAGTTGATAGGTTGAAATGTAATGAAATATGCTTGTTTGCTATCCCGGCAAGAAATAGACGAGAAGAACAATACATCTCATACTCTCATGTCTGTGCGCTAGATGCAGCTTTAACCAGCAGGCAGTTAGCTTAGCTTAGCATAAAGAATCGAAACAGTCTCTCATAATCTCATTTGTTTAATCCGTACAAAACCCGAGAGTTACGGTCTGAAACAATTTCTTGGCGAGTCCGCAGACTTCCCGGCCAATAAATAGCTTCAGCACTCCAGGATTTATGCTAAGCTAAGCTACAGGCCTGCTGTCTTTAGCTTCATATTTGGTGTAAAGAAATGAGAAAGCGTATTTTCCAAAATATTGAATTTTTGCTAACAACAACACGGTAATGGATGGAAATCACCACTGGATTCTAGATATTTCAACATTTTAGCCATGTTTATCTATGTTTATCTATGGGATGAGACAGATTTGTATGATATGGCTTATAATGTGAACTCTGTCTAAAACTTGTACACCTGTTGAGAACGACAAGGGAAGCTTAAGCAGAGTTCTATAGTTTTTAAAATTCACCCTTTAAACGTAAAGATCAGTGTTCTGGGAACCTCTAATAATCACTTTCTCTCGACAACTTTACTGAAACATCACACAGGATCCTTTATGCAGCGGAGGATGAGGTTACGTTGCTAGTTTCAGGAATGGACAAACTTCAGTAAACTTCCTGCCTCTCAGCCTGTAACACTGGGTGGCAGTGTGGCCCTCTAAACAAAAATCTTTCACCTCCTGTCTCCAGCAGCGGAGCTCAGTCTGAGGAGTGTGTCTCTGAGATTTCTCTGAAATTCAAAGGACACCTCAGCTGGGTTTTATAAGTATCAAGATTATTGCTGGATAAAGCACAAGGCATTATTTGTTTTCACTTCTCTGCATCCAAATGAGAATCATACATCCAAATGTACTTGCTATCTAGACTCAGACAGGTGCAAATAAAAAAAATACAGTGCCTATATGTTTTTGAGAAATGCCTGAGGCCATTTCTTCATTAAAATGTGTTTGTATTGAAATGACTCTAAATTATTTTGTAATTGTTCTGAAATGTGAGTTATGCATGCTATACAGATATTATTTTTGGAAAGCTAGAATGGGTTTTGCTTACTCTTCCACCAAAAGTGTCAAATAGACTTGATGTGATGCAGATTATTGTTAGATTAACAATTTCATTTAAACCGCATTTACTAAAATGTTAACACCGTTGCATTAAGAATAATTCCTAATGCAACTGTTCTTCTATTCCCAGTATGTTCCATATATGCAGTGTATAAACAGGCTTACAGTCAAAGAAGAAGATTGAGGGATTTATCACCTCTGTAAGAAAGAGCAAGTAGGGTCAATTATAAAATCACACTATATATTGTATATTCTCTGTTTCGATCCAAGCGTAGTTCCACAGCATCAAAAAAGGCGACACAAAATAAAATCAATTTCCATTATTATATATAATACCAGATTATCCTGGGAAAGTCTGCAACAACTGCGAATAAGCCTCCAACAACTGATTTTACTCCAAAAGTTGACAGTGAAGATTGAGGTCACGGAGGTCACGGCAAAGATAAGCTGAGAACTTGTAAATCCTGTCAATCTGTTTTCAAATTACTGCGGTGACAGCATGCGAGGTGTTGTTTCCGTGTATTATGGTAATGTAATAGCTGAGGCAGGCCTTGGTCTGCGGCTGCTGTTTGTTCGCAGGTACCGCGCTCGCTGCGTTTGGCATTCTGCTCCACTTCTCCCACCGAAATGAGTTCTCCCTCTCCCTCTAAACTTACAGAGGATGCGGCGCCCACACAGCTGTTCTCCCCTGAGCTGGCGTACATAAAACATAAAAGGCGAGCCTATATGAAAAATGCACAGAGCGCTGGAATATAATGTGCTTGATACCCTGCTGCTGTCGGGCAAGGGAGAGATAAAGAGAGAGGCCTGCCCTGGATAGATTCCTTTTCTGCAGAATTCGTTTGACTGCAGGCTTGGATGGCTGCCTGTGCAAACATTTACTCACCGCGCTCAATCCGTGGATCACATTACAAAGATTGATTGTTCACTTGCCTCTCACCCTCCACTGTTTCATTGGCCAATAAGAAATCAAATGGGACTCTTGAAAGAGGAGAATCTGAGAGGTAGAGTTGTTATGCACAGAATAAGTGACTGAGCTTCTCGAAGAAGACTTCGTCGCGCAAAATGTGTTTCGAGCAAATTCCTCCCATTGTTCTTGTGTATTCCAGATGAATTGAAATGCTTGAGTGCCAGGCAGTGAAAACAAATCAAAATGATTGTAGCAGTTGAAAGAGTGGCACATTGCAGCGTGTTCCACTCCCTCATATCGCCATGTAAATTAGCAGAGCTGCCGTGTGAACTTGCGAGGCAATTAATGCGTGACACACAGGTGCCTCGCTACCTACCGCAGCGTAATTGCAAAGTTCACAAAAAGGGAAATTAAACAAGGGAAACACTGCATTGTGTTTGCTCTCTTTGGAGAATTTGTAGTCCAATTAGAGCAGTAGGTTTCAATTGCGGTGGCGCAGACACGGCATCGTTTGTCCGTGCCAAACCCTTGCTCATAATCATCATCATTTCAGCTCGAGCAATTGCCAAATATTTACTCAGTTGTTTTTTTAGGGCCTCTGGGTACTGTATCCAGAAGCCTAACTAAGAAAACAATTGTTCAGGAGGCAGAGCGAGGAGCGAAAACTCATAACGAAACAATCCCCGGTCCCCCGGTGCGCAACAGAGAACTCGATCGAAACACACATTACTCTCAGTTCAAGGTGACCCATAGCTTTTACCCCGGCATTTTCCGACCAACTACACCGGTCGGAGCCAATCACATCTGCAACATGTAATTGTTTGCAGCAGGCAGACACGCTCAGGTTGAGTTTTAATCAATAGGAGAAGAGAAAGCAGGTAAACATATCACACACAGAGACAAGAGATGGGGATGTTTGTGTGTCAAAAACTGCTCAAGTGGAAGTAAAGAGGCGAGATCAGGTGCTTTGACCCCGGGGACGGAGGGTCAGAACACGGGGCGGCGGGCTTTCTCCTCACCTAACCTGCTTTCAAAATAACCAAACCGCTCCCGGAGACCCAGAGCAACAGCAGATTAGCCCCCCTCTGCTGCATCTTGTCCTCTCCTGCCAGCACGCTCGTGCTCTCCTTCCCATTTCCCCTCAGCGTCTTCCTCCCC